TCTCACTATTTGCGAAGAGAAGGGGCTAAAACTAACCCGAAGAAGTGCAAGTTCTTCATGACAGAGGCGTTGTGGTGTGGCCGTGTCGTCTCGGCGGACGGAGTTCGTCACGATCCCGCACGGATTACCGCATTGCGCCAAATGTCGGCTCCTTCCACTGGTCAGGAACTGCAGCAATTCATTTGGGCGCTAAACTGGATGCGGTCGTCGCTACCGGAATTCAACAAGATGGTCAGTCCTTTGACAGTTTTCATGGAGAAGATTTACGCATCTGCTGGGAGCCGCAAGAAGTCACAAGTTCGTCGAGTTGTTTTTCAGGACGCTGGGTGGTCTGACGTTGAAGCCACCGCGCTACAACAATGCAAAGATGCGCTGGCAAATGCGCTGACGCTGGCTCATTCCGACCCAGTCAAACGTCTGTGTGTTTTCACGGACGCGAGCGATGAACATTGGGGGGCGGCCATCACCCAAGTCTTGTATGACCAGTTAAAGCGAGATTTTGAGAACCACGACGATGAACCGCTCATGATGCTCAGTGATGCATTTCCCGGTGGTGCGAAACGCTGGGCGATTGTGGAAAAAGAAGAGTTCGCTATTGTGGAGACGTGCAAGCGGGCGAACTATCTCGTTCGTCGGTCAGATAGGTTCAGTCTTTTTACGGACCATCGCAACTTGCGTTACATTTTCGCGCCGACGACGGTGTCCTCTGCTGTGCCAAAGTACACTGCGGACAAGCTTCATCGCTGGTCACTCGTACTCATGTCGTTGGCTTACGAGATACATGATATTACTGGCGATGCTAATGTCTGGGCCGATCTGTTGTCTCGCTGGGGCTCTACTTTCACTACAGTGACTGCCATTCGTTTAGTTCCCCTTCCTCCGTCGCCTCAGCTGGATGACACTTTCGTCTGGCCCACTTTGGACCACGTTCGTAGCGCACAAGCGCTTACGGCAGCGCCGGACACAACGGTGGTAGGAGAAGACAGCATTGTTCGGGATGCCCAAGGAAAAATCTGGCTACCTGACGCGGCTAATGCTCTACATCTCCGTATCTGTCTCGTTGGACATTTCGGTGCTGCTGGCCATCGCACTATGAAGGCGACATTACAGGCGATCGCGGACAAGTTCACGTGGACGGATTTAACTGCGGATGTTACGAGATTCGTCGGTCGGTGTCTTCATTGTGCGAGTGTCACCGGTGGCCCACCGATGCCTCGTCCTCTCGGTGAAGCCTTGCATGCAGAAAAACCAAATGAGCTGATTCATTGGGATATTCTTACGATGGGACCTGCAACTACCGGTGACGCGTTTGTGCTTGTCATTAAAGACGATGCGTCCCATTACGTGTGGCTTACTCCCACTAGAGCGGCCACGGCAGATCTGACGTTTGAGTCGCTCATGGAGTGGTTTGCTGTTTTTGGGGTATGTCCTGCATGGGTCTCAGACCAAGACACACACTTCAAGAATGCAGTAATTGCGGATTTGCAACGAGCGTTGGGAGCACACCACCATTTTACCACCGCACGATGCCCATGGGCTAATGGGACGGTGGAAGTGGTAATGCGCGAGGTGCTGCGGTCTGTTCGGGCGCTGTTGTCTGAGTGGCGGTTAGCGGAGACGGACTGGCCCAAAGTGATTAAAATTGTGCAGTTGGTGCTTAATCAATCAGTTTCCGATTCGCTTGGAGGAGTGGCGCCGTTCACGGCGATGACAGGTTTGTCCGCCATGAATCCGCTGGACCCAGTGGTGACTCCTGAAGGCATTGAAGCTGCCAGACGAGGCCAGGGCAATTCGTGGAGCTAATTTCGCTAAATTGGCTAAGTCTCTCGAAGAACTACACAAGCGAGTGGCAATTGGACGAAGTGCAGCGCAACGAAAGGGGCGAGCGAAAGCGCTCAAACGCGGTGCCAAGATGGCGCAATTCGCAATTGGGGTTTTGTTCTGTATGCGGATGTTTGGAGTCATCGTCGCTCGAAGCTTCGGGTGAAGTGGTGCGGCCCCGCTAGAGTTGTTGACACGTCGTCGAACTGGGTGTTCACAGTGGAGAACTTACTAACTGGAGAAACAAAGGAATCTCATGCGGCCGGCTCAAGTTCTACGCGGATTCTTCGCTGGGGATCACGGAGGATTTTCTCGCTCACGTCGCGCACAACAGTGAAGGACATGTTGTGGAGAAGCTGCTGCAAGCTCGCTACGACGCGACTAGCGCGATGCATCAGCTTTTGGTCAAGTGGCGTGGGTTATGTGAGCTTGAGAACACATGGGAGCCCGTGCAGAACCTGCTGGAAGAGGTGGCAGCGCTCGTCAAGCGATTTGCCGCTCAAAACAAAAAAAGACCCAGCAGTCAAGTCAATAGCCTCAGCTCATGGCATTGCCTAACCGGGTTAAG